TGTGTGTGTGTGTGTGTGTGTGTGTGTGTAGAAGATGTTATTAAAGTCCCTGGTGACATAGCTCTACGTGTGTGTAGAAGATGGTATTAAAGGGGTGTGTGTGTGTGTGTGTGTGTAGTAGATGTTATTAAAGATGTATATGTGTGTGCAGAAGATGTTATTAAAGGGGTGTGTGTGTGTGTGTGTGTGTGTGTGTGTAGAAGACGTTATTAAAGGCCCTGGTGACATAGCTCTACTTCTATCTCCACATCCTGTTCTGCGGCCTCAAAGAGTCAGGCACTGGAGGTGCTGGCACGGGCTGTGCACAGACTGGAAAAGGCCTTGACGTCCCTCTCTTCTTGCATGATGACCCGGGCTTCTCCTTCTGCTGACATTTTGAATGGGCATCACAGGTCCTGCCAACTGTGTGGCCAGTTTAAGACCTTCTGCAGAGCTGTCTTCCTTCGTAGGGAGCGAGGGCTTTCTGGGGAAGAGGATGAGTTTGGAGCAGTGCTCCTTCAGCCCGTTGGCCTGCAGGGACTTGGTGGACTTGTTCTGCCTCCTGGAGTCCACAGAGATGCCCGTGGTGCAGGCTACCTTCTTGTGGATGCCGGCCACACTCAGCAATTCCAGGTGAAGCCCCGGCCAGCTCAGCCTTTGGTGTAGCGCCAACTGAGGCAGTGCATGATGGGCCGGATGGGCCCAGACGCAGGCCTTGGGGCAGTACGGTGGGCTTTGGCTTGTCAGCCCTTAGGCTTGTTGGGCCTTGTACTTGCAGATCTTCCGAGCCAGCTGGTTGAGCTGCGTGGACACGCGCCGCCGCCAATCCTCGTAAAAGTGGGGCTTCAGGATCCTGCCATGCTGAGGCTAGATGCGATGGCTATCTATGGCCCAAGTGGAATGGCCAAGTGGAAAAAAAGCAAGGTGTTAAATTTTAACCTAATTTCATCTGCAGTAACACACTCTTCAATGCTATCTGCATGATAGCAAAGTTATTCACATCCCTGGTCTTTGGTCGGAGACTTAATCCTCATATTTCTCCTTCATTTCTTTTTAAATGAACAGTTTTAAAATGAGTCAAAGGGAGATCAATTAATAAGATAATCCATTTTAACCTAACTACATCAGCTATAAGCGACTTTACAGTGCTCTCTGTCTGAGAAGGCTATTTACATTCTCTGACTGTGGTCAGAGGGGATCTATTGAAGTTTAATCCATGTGTGGACCCTAGAAATGGATGTGGAGCTTCCGCTGTCATCCATGGCCTTCTACAAACCAAGTACATGTAGTCACAAGTTAAGCTCTGATACCATTCCCTCCTTTAGTTTTGAACTTTATTATTTACAATCCTGGGATCACACAGGCTGGTATGCTTTTTCCATGGGACATAGTTGACACTACTTAGATGGGTGCTTGTTTGAAGACAAGCCTTTCAGATCCTAAATGCCATTTTTTTATAGCCAGCTGCCATCTAGTTTCTTTGATACACTTTGCTATAGTACCCATATCTTCAGCCTATGCATTCTTGTCCATCCCGCCTATGCTGGCCTTTCTTCTGAAGCTCCCATGGTGGACTTGAACCTCCAACCTTCAGCAGAATGCCCTGCCAATCTACTTTTAAAAATCAGCCATTAGACCAGAGGATGTACACTGGTACAGAAAGGAACTGAAAATACAGGGAATCTAGGGTGGATGCGCCCTACAGGACCAGTGGTGTGAGTGGCGAAACAGGGAGGGTAAAGGGAGAGTGGGTAGGAAAGAGGGAACCGATTACAAGGAACTATATGTGACCTCCTCCCTGGGGGACGGACAACCGAAAAGTGGGTGAAGGGAGACGTCGGACAGGGCAAGATATGACAAAACACCAATTTATAAACTATCAAGGGTTCATGAGGGAGTGGGGAGCGGGGAGTGGGGGGGGAATGAGGACTTAATATCGGGGGTTTAAGTGGAGAGAAAATGTTTTGAGAATGATGTACAAATGCGCTTTACGCAATTGATATGTGTATGGATTGCGATAACAGTTGTATGAGCCCCTAATAAAATGTTTAAAAAAAAAGAAATGGTTGCATGTCGACCAGCTCATTTTGGTACAATGTATTCTTTTTATCTTCTTTTGATACTTCCTGCATCATCCAATATTTTGCCCAGAGAATCTTTCAATATTACCCTCAAGACTTGAATGTTTTCTTGAGTTCTTTCAGTTTAAGATATGCTGAGTAGTATGAGCCCCTAATAAAATGATTATAAATAAATAAATAAAAATCAGCCGTCTATCTAAGCAAAGCGTCAATTAAGTCAACATGGAAGAAGCACACCAGCTTGTGTGACCCAAAGACGACAATAACCAAACTTAAATATGACAAAGGGTAAAGTATCAGAGCCTAAATTGAGAACACCCAATTTGTAGAAGGCTGTGGAGGACAGTGGGAGCCCAAAGCCCATCTGCAGAGTATCTAGTCTGATTAAGCCACTGACACCTACCCTTGAGATTCTTCTAGGTGTCAGTCTTTCTTGCTCATCATGGAATAGAATCACAGAATATTAGCTTTGGGTGGTCTTTTGCACTGTGCCCTTGGTGGGAGAGTGGGGTATGTGTTGGGCTGCTAGCCACAAAGTCAGCAGTTCAAAATCACCAGCCCCTCTGAGGGAGAAAGACAAGGCTTTCTACTCCTGTAAAGACAAAAACCAAACTCCCTGCTATTGAGTCCATTCTGACTCATAGTGACCCCATTGGACAAAGTAGAACTGCCTCTCTGGGTTTCTAAGACTCTCACTCGAGAGGAGTAAAAAGCCTCGCCTTCTCTCAGAAACCCACAGGGGCGGTTCTACTCTGTCCTATAGGAGTCAGAATAGGCTCAGTGGCCGCGAGTCTTTTGCATCTCACTTTAAGCAATCTCTTAATAAAAGATAAAGAAACAAGTTCTAGGAGGGTTAGATATTTGGTCAAAGAACTTTTTATTCTTATTCCCATCTTTATTTTTTTATATCATTTTATTGAGGGTCGTACAACTCTTATCACAATCCATACATCCATCTATTGTGTCAAGCACATTTGCACATTTGTTGCCCTCATTGTTCTCAAAACATTTGCTTTCTACTTGAGCCTTTGGTAGCAGCTTCTCATTTTTCCCCTCCCTCTCACACCCTCCCTCCCTCCCAAACCCTTGATTATTTGTAAATTATTATTTTTTCATGTCTTACACTGTCTGATGTCTCCCTTCACCCACTTTTCTGTTGTCCGTTCCCCAAGGAGGGGGTATATGTAGATCATTGTGATCGGTTCCCCCTTTGGTCAAAGATCTTAATGCTATTTGGGGGTTAATGCCTTTCAATGAAAACAATGTGATTGATCATTCTGCAACTTGCATCTCATTAAATTGTCTAGGTCATGGACTGGGAGGTTGGACAGATTAGGTTAGCAGGAGACACAGGCCAACTTGAAGTTTACTAGGGTAGGTAGGATATGTCTATCTCCTAAAATAATATCTTTGTTTTTCAGGACTAAAGAGCAATAATTGTGTGGAGAACATAGGTAAGATATTTTCTCTGTACTGGCAATGTATAAGTGTGATTTCTCACAGGGATGGGGCAGAACCACCCTACCACTCTGTCAGGCTGGCATTTCCCCAAGGGCAAATCCTGCTATTTTGACTGCCTGGGAGGTGGAGAGCCGGGAGTTTCTGTTACTTGCAGTCGGTCCCCTCTTCGTCCGCCTTGTACTCCTGGGGCTCTTAGTACTTTTCTGTCTCCCACACCGAGGCTCTATCTGACACTGCTTTGTCCCTGGTGTGCTGCTTCCAGCCTGGATTTTCCTTCTGAGAGCTGAAGGTCTCCTGCTTGCCCCCACAGCTTCACCTATTTCCCATGTGACTCCTGCAGAGAGCTAGTCACTTACTCTGATGTCTTAGGAGGTAGAATGTGGGAGACGAATGAGGGACTATGGCTTAGTGGGAGGGATGCGGAGACAGAATGTGGTCAGTCTCAGCATCCTGGGGCCCGGAGGTGGGGGTCTGGGGGGAAGGGAGGGAGGATGGAGGATGAAAAAGGGAAAGAAAAAAAAGATGTTTCTTAAAGGATCATAGGAAAGATTTGGGAACATAGAGGATTCTAAAAGTATTCAGGAAGCAGCAGCATCAAACAGTCCAACAAATATGAACATGTTCAGTGGGGATCTCACTGAGGAGTCCTTATTGAAAAGTTTGAAAAGAGGCTCCCTTTCTAGCTAGTTTTCTGCGAGTTCTTCGTGTCATTCAAACCTACCCGCCGCCATTTGTCTTTGAGGTTGAAATGATCCGCCTCCCCATACTAACCATATTTTGCATGTATCTTAAATGTAAACCAACTCAAATAGATCGAGCCCAACATTCACATCTGAGTAGAGTGCAATATAATGGAACTGTCTTTGTTTCAGTCTCTTTTCAGCCCATCCATGTCCACGGCCCTGGTGAGTATGCTGACGTCTAAACAAATATTTTACATTCTTCTTTAAAAAGAAAAAAGAAAAGGCTTTTTCAAGTTTAGGAAATTCTGTCTTTAGCTGTAGAAAACTAGTCTTGACAGCTATGAAGCTGCGAGTTATCAGCCATGAAAGGGAAAAGGCTCCTCTGGAAAAAGTGACCTCCCTGCAGCTGGGAGGGTGGGCTCCTTGGAGAGGTGAGCAGTATGGGACTTTCTGGGCAGGAAGACTGGTGGAGCTTGAAGAGCGAGTGGACTTCCAGGGACAACTCTGCTCGGTCACTGAGATAGGCCTTTGTAACACCTGGATGTAAACATCCAGATGGAAATAGAAAACGTCATCAGTCATGTGCTGCTCTCAGCCTCCTGGTGTTTGGTGTCAGTGACTGAAATGTCTGGGTGATAAAGATGCACATCCTCCCTGTGGTTTTCCCTTGAGGGGTCTTTATTTGTCTGCCAGACCCATGTGTGCCAGGCTTGTGGCTACAAGTTTTTTCTTGTTCAAGAGAAACAAAAGATGTGAACTCTCCTTCAATACACAATTTGATAGTTGATGTCTAGGGAAGTATTTCATTCTACCTAGTGGGCCAGAAATGAAGCTGTTTATGTTCTAGGAATTTTCTTAAGGCAAGTCCTCTTAGTAGCCCATTTTCTGACTCCTGGAAATCCTCGCGAGGCTCCCTATATGTGATGCTTTTAAATTTTATTTTTAATAAAAGGGACTAGAGGAAAGTTTCAATCTGTCAGCCACGGTAGCATTTAGACCCTGCATAATAGTAGCACAATGAGCTGCTAACCACAAGATCAGCAGTTTGGAACCACCAGGTGTGCTCCACAGGAGAAAAACGAGGCTTTCTACTCCCCAAAAGAGTTACAGTCTCAGAATGGAACAGAGGCAATTCTGCCTTGTTCTATAGGGTCACGGTGAGTTGGAATCAACTGGCACTGAAAATGAGTCACAGTGGTTGGCTGGTCACCCAAGTGGTTCTTTGTGGTCTCTACCTGCAGATAGTTTTGCTGCATCTGTAGTAAAGGCTCCAACACTAAAACCACTGTCTTTCTTTTTTTACATAGATGAGAAAACCCAGAAGCTTGCAGACCCTGGTAAGACATTCCCATATGCCCTGGAGGCTTAGAGTGACCGAACAGCTCCTCTTTGGGGCAGGAGTCAGCTGAACAGGCACTTAAGAAAAGACCTAAAGAAGGCAGAACCCACCCAAGCCTGCTGATTTAGTGTGTCAGTGATGCACATGGGTTTCTGGGAAAATGCTTTAAAACATGACAGAGCAGCATTGTGTCTCCTGTCCAACAATCTTTAAATCATGTCAGCATAACAGTCAGAGGAAGTACATGTACAACTTGTGCTAGAAAACACTTTCTGCCTTGAGCTCGTTGTGACCAATTATCCCAACTCCTGTGGCCCAGGGCTTTAGCATTGCTTCTTCCTAAACGATTTCTTTTAAAGGTATGTACTTATTTCTGCTTCTGGCAGATGCTGTTGGCTGTATCTGTTTGACTATCTAGTACATTCTAAAATACAACAGATCCCCAAGGGTTTGGTCTGGTTCTCCTTGAAGTGATGTTATTCAGCTGTCCCTCAGGGACCTGGGCCAGGCGCGCTCTCACAAATGACTGGTGACATTATAATCTGGAACAGCTTTTTCTGAAGGTCACTTTGATAGTACATATCATAAGCCTTAAAATGCTGAGACCTTTTGATGCAGTAGGTATTTGTCCTAAGGAAATTAGAGACAAGCACGAAGATCTGTGTGACATAAATGTGATCGCTGGCACCAGAGTGCACACATTTCAGAGCAACCCTATTGTCCCCCAGTTGGATATTATTACATGAATGACATTGTATCCATTTCGTGTCACACCAAACAGCTTAGAAATTGTGTTTGTGAAGAAATATTTAATGATATGAGAAAGTACTCATAATGGTAAATAAAAATAGGTCATAAAACAGTATGTAGACTAGTATCAACTTTAAAAATATATGATGCACACATACAGTACATAGCAAAACGATTGAAAGGAAATATACCAGAGATGTTAAGAATGAGCATCTGTGAGATTTATTTTTTAAAATTCCCTGAATTTTTCCAGTTCACCTACCATATATACTCGAGTATAAGCCGACCCGAATATCAGCCAAGGCACCTAATTTTACCACAAAACTGCATTAAAAATGTGCTTGAAAACCTCAGATTATACTCAAGTGTATACGGTATATTTATATTACTTTCATAATTAGGAAACGTTTTGTTGCTGTTTGGTGTTTGTTTGTTTTTCATAGACCACAATGACTTTGGATCGTAGTCTTTGGGCTGAATCTAAAAAAGAAAACAACAAGAGCTGTGTGCTGAATCCAAGAGATCCCGGTCACTGGCCATGCTCTTGCCGTCAGCAAGTCAGGCTCTGGGAAGCAATCCCCCTCCTCCCCCTCCCTCACTCAGTCAACTTTTAAAGTTTTCCACTTTTTTTTAGTCGCCAAGACTAAGGTTAAATATGGAGCCCTGGTGGCGAAGTGTGTATGTGTTGGGCTGCTACCTGCGAGGTCAGCAGTTTGAAACCACCAACTGGTCCTCAGGAGAAAGACAGCGTTCTGTCTGTTACCAGGGTCAGTCTTGAAAACTCAGACAGTTCTAACCCATCCTAATGGGTCATTATGAGTCGCCACGACCGGATGGCAGTGAGGTTTTTTTATAAAGTAAATGAACTTTCAAGCTCATTGCATTTTCATTAACTACCATACTTCTTAGTCTCATTACCAGGCACAGAAAGCCACGAGCCTGCTGTGATGCCTGGTAAGCCTTTTCACGTAATCTCGACTCCTGTTTCTCAGATAGCACCTCAGAGGGAGGTGCTGGGGTGATGATGTGTGCAGGACAGGGCGGCGGGGAGCTGGAAAGCAACACCTACACTTTATCTTGGATTATGGACTACAGTATAAACTTTTTAATTGCTGGGGGTGGGGGTAATGTGTCACTTTTTCGGAAAAGGAGGCAGGCAGGAAGTCAAATAAGTTTGGGAACTTGTGCTGCAGGGTTAGGGGAAAGTCGCTGGGTCCTTTAAGAAAGCCAGACGGTGGGACTCAAACATACCAGTGATCACGAAGACGGTGCAGGATCAGGCCCTGCTCCAGCCGGCTGTTCCTAAAGTGGCCATGAGCTGGTGTCGGCTCCAGAGCATAGAGCAGCAGCATGTACGTTCCCAAGCACTTTTATGTACTCACGACGCTCGCCTCTTTCACTACAAACCTCCAAATGCACTGCCATTGAGTGAGTAAAACTGAGCAACCCCACAGACCGAGAACCGACCCTCTGGGTTTCTGAGACCTACCTCTCGACAGGAGTAGAAAGCTTCATCTTTCTCCGGCAGAGCTGGTGGTGGTTTTGAACTCCTGACCTTTTGGTTAGCAGCCCAAGAAGACGCTCTCACCAAGGTTAAGTAGCTTGCCCAAAGTCAAAGAGCTAATAGGTAGCTGACAAGCTGATTTAAATCCAGCACTGGCTCTTTAAAAAAAAACAACAACAAAACTTACATCCTGGGCTGACCGTAAAAACGAGGTAAGAGACTAGATGATGGGAGTTTGGGAATTCGAGACTAACTTGCATTAGACTTTGTGCCATTAGAGAATGAAGAACCATTGAAAGTTGTTTTTCTTGTTATTGTGGGTTTTTTGGTTTCTCTTTGAAAGTTGGAAATGGGGCGGCCTAGACCAAAGGTGCATTAACAACATAACTGGTTAACATTAACCAATATTCATTTCTGTCCTTAGAGGTGAAAAAGCACGAACCCACTCAAATGCCTGGTAAGACTTCTTTCAGCTTACTCTCTGGGCCCACGTGTGAGCTGAGGAGTTCCCCAGGGCATTTAGGAGACAATTAGCAGGAAGTGATTATTCGTGAACAGTCCCCTCCCAGCTGCCTGCTGGTCACTCTTCAGCGATTTATAGGAGAGCTGTGGAAATGGCCTCCTTACACCACCTCCCTCTCATCCATCTATCAGGAGAGCGGGGGTCTCTGGAGCTGAAGGCCAGGCTGTGTGCATACCAGCACCTTAGAGGGCTTACCGCTAGTGATTGGGTGGTGAGCGACGCAATTGAAGCCTCCACTGGGTGGGCAAGCTGCTAGCTTTGGCCAGCTTCTCAGCATCTGGGCTCTCCAGGCAACACAGCAAAGTTCCCCTGGCTCAGACAAACTGGCTGAGGCACCATGGCCAAAGCCTCCCTAAATGTGGTCTGAGTGTTCGCAGTCTGGCTCTGTATATCCAAATCTGGTAAGACTACAGCACGGGGGAACCTTGGGTGCTGGTTTCTCTAGCTCAGCTGACAGGAATGTGAAATTACGCGCCGTAGAGCAAACTGCTAGTAACTGAGCACTTCTTTCTCACCTAGGAATGAAAATGCCAGAACTGTTTTCATTACCTGGTAAGCGATGGTAGATGTGACAAAAGGGGATGTGTGGCGTCTAGACATAATTGTCACCAATGGACATGTAGAACCCCTGTAAGACCCCCTGAGCACAAGTCATGTTAGTGAATGAAGGAGTCAGGTCTCTTAAGATCAACACTGGTGGTTTCTAATGTATTCACTGTGACAGATTTAACATCCCTTTAAGACACACGGAATGAATGATTAAAAAGTGAGATTGTAGCTGAAAGGAGCCCTGCTGGTGTAGTGGTTATGCATTGGGCTGCTTAACTTCAGGGTCAGCAGTTCAAAACCACCAGGTGCTCCTTGGGAGAAAGATGAGGCTTTCTACTCCCATAAAGTAAGTCTCAGAAACCCTGGGGGGCAGTTCTGCCCTATCCTTTAGGGTCACCGTGAGTCACATACATGAGTCCAAATTGACTCAATTGCAGTGAGTTTTGAGTTTTTAGGATTGTAGGTGAGGGCACGGCCATGGAGGGGCCTTGACCTTCTCTGGTGAGAAAAACTGAGCAGTGATTCTAGGCAGTTCCTCAGACGAACCTTTGAACTTACAGATGCAGGGGAGAGACAAAGGCCTTCAAACTTATTTATATCCTGAGAAAAGGAGAAGTCGAAAAGAAAAAATGGGTGGTAGAACCCAGAGAGGGAGCCTAAGATCTGTGTCCCAGCACTGTGTGGAGAGCAGCGACACTGCTCGGGACTGTTTGTCTTTCTGCACGCTATCTTTCAAAGGTAGCTGTCACTGGGCCTGTTTACCGCACAGGATACCTGCAAGGGCTCTCACAACACAAGCTCAAGGCTCACCCCTCTACCTAGTGCATGAACCCTTTTTCCTGAGGTCATGTAGTGCTTCAAAAAGAAAAGTTTACAAGTTCATTATGGGAAAGACCATCTGCTATATAAACATTGACCATTTCTTAACTTATTCCCCAACCTGTGGCCACTAACTGAAAGGTTGGAGTTAAGTCTACCATGGAACATTCCAGAGGTGTGTCTGAAGAAAGGCACCGAACTCCCTGTGGAGCAGTTTACTCTGGCCCAAATGGGGTTGCTGGGTCAGAACTGAGTCCTTGGCATTGCCCCCATCCACGGAGGCTCAGCTAGCATTGGTCTGTAGCAACTGCATGCCAGGAACAGAATGACCACGTTCACAGGTAGTTTACACAAAGCGCAAACAAAGGTGCAGAAGTTCCAGCCGCACATGTTCTACACTGACCCAGACTAGCACTGTTGGATTATGTGGCCACACACTGAAGTGAATCTCGTGAGACACTGACGACACACGTACCCACAACTCTTCAGTATCCTGCTTGGCCAGTTTGCATCAGGGAGGCACGAGGCAGTGTGGGTGTTGAAAGATGGCTGTGGACTGAGGCCTGGCAGAAGGGTAGGCTGTGGACTGAGGCCTGGCAGAAGGGTATGGGCTATGTGGTCAGACAGACCTGGCTTCCTGAGTTCTCCTCGGTCACTTTCCTCAAGGTGACTTGTGTGTCACTTTTTGCTTGGAAATGTGGTAGCACTGTCGACTAAGTACTGGACTGTTAATCACAAGGTCAGTGGTTCAAACCTACCAGCTGCTCTGCCGAAGGATGAGACTGTCTGTCTCCTGTAAAGATTTACAACCTCAAGATCCTTTTGCAGGGTTGCTATGCATGAGTCGGGATCGACTCAATGGCAATGGCTTTCATTTGGGTTTGAAAAGTGTTTCAGGTAAGCTTTGAACTCAGCTTGAATGTCTTTATTTGGGTGGTAAGGGGTGCATGGTGTAGGTGGGTGATACTGGTTCCTCGGATCCTGGACTCTCGCAGTGACTGCATGTTCTCTTTCACAGCCCGTGGCACACTGCCAGTTCCAGTGCCAGGACCCAAAACCCACCCCTCGGCCTCCTCTGTGCAAATCCTCCTTCCACCGCTTGGGACACTCATCATTTTAACCTGTGCTTCTGCCGTCCATCTCTTTGTTGCTCTTTAGTTTAGTATGCTCTGTAGTTTAGTATGCTCTTTCTCATCTGAAAGATACTACAGGGATCCTTTGTCACTTGTTGGCCAAAGTCTCATGGGGAAAATGAGAATCGTATTCTTTGTTAGTCATTTCACAAGTTCAGAAAGTTGGTCCAGGTAGGATCTGTCATAGCATTAACTTTTCACAGGCTTCTATATTAACCTAATGGTTGGAAGAAAAAAAACCCAAAAACCAAACCAATCCCAAATCTGTATACTTGTTTGAGTTCAATAAAAGCCTGTAAGATTATTTAAGTAGTTTCAGTAGAATTAGCAGATATTAAAATGTCTGATACTAATGATAGTGGCTTTAATACCTGATTTAGAATATTAAAGCATCTACAGGATCACCTCTTTGCAGACGTAAACTTTTAATAGTTTCACCTTTCCATGGCAACCTCCCCAAATGGGAACATTTTGTATTTCTATGAGCACAACAGTTCACAGTTCCTGTGGAGTCGCACTTGAATCTCACAGGTGACGTAGTACAGGACTTTTAGGCATTACAGTGGTTGAATAAAGCACAGACTTTGTAACCAACACTTGCCTTCACTTTACCAATGTTCCAAAAGAATTTAAGGGTGCTTTCAAAGCTAACAGAAAACCTAAAAAATTCCAAATTAGGTGTCTGGGGTGCAGTGTGCTTCTTTCTTCACATTCACGGAATCCCAGTGGTATAGGGTCATTATGAGTCCAGACTAGAAGGCAGTGATTTTGGTTTTTTTACACAATCAGAATGCAGAGTAAAGGCTATCCACAAGTACCACTAGTCAATTGAGGCCTAAATAAAGAACTTCAAGTAAATTGTGAGAATGTAACATGGTCCCAGGGCCACCGTGAGTCTTTCCTCCTCCTGCCCAAGCTAGAACTTGGTTATCACTTGTTTGGAACACACTATAGTACAAGCCAAGTCCAATGATCTACCTGGACAAAGTTGACCACTGGTCTGCCTCATACCTGCAGCCCCCGTGAGATGGAAGCTTAGGAGGCTGACTGGGCCTCTTTAAGAAGCAGACCCTGGACCCTTTCTCTGGGGGGTACGAGCAATGTGGCAGGGCAGGGTGGGGGCTGTTAAGGCATGTTCTATAAAGTATCATAGGATTGGTAAGTACAAAGACCTGACAATATCAGAATACAATAAAGGAGTGACTGTGACATGTACCATTAACGATCTGCCAACCGGAGAATGTGGCCCAGTGAGTAAGTCTCATCCATTAGATCAACAACTCTGCCTCCTACAAAGGCAAAGAAACACCTCTTTCTGGGTTCAGCTGCCTGGACAAGGATGGAAACTGCTATTATCTGGGTCAAAGCCAGAAGATGAACCAAGAAAGAGTACTTCCTTTTTCAATGTTGAAATGCAACAGCGGGTAGGAAAAGAAGATGAAGGGGGCAGTACAATAAGTCCTTTAACACTTGCATGCCATAAACCTAGTTAAAGTGGGCACAAACTTCTAGCTTTGTTTTATGTTTTATGATTCTCAGACTCTGCTAATTGTAGTGGGCTCCTAAGATGGGACTCTGAAAATACTGTGGATCACACATCACGCGTCAAATAGCAGTAAAGTACTTCCAAAGGAACCGACATGTAGCGTGTGCAGTTCATATAACAAAAACTGTTGAAAATGATCTGGTGGTTAAAGAATGTTCCATAATTTAGATTTTCTAGTCTTTTCAGATACAATGATACATTTGAAAATTCCTTATCTTACATATCTGAAAGGGTTTTCTTTTTGTCATACTCTAGTCAAAATATATTGCCATTGACAAAAGTTTCAGGGAGGGAAAAAAATCTGACTTAAAATCACTGAATTGTGATTACAACTTAACACTTATGTAGGTGTAAGATAGTTATTCTGCAAAAGACAAGCAAAACAACAGACAGAAGTATATAAAAGTAATTATAAAATCAAGAATTTATATGCTTTCATCTTTTTTAGAAATAAAGTTTAAAAACAAAAAAGTTGCAAAAATGAGTTTTTTTTTTATATAAGTTCCAAATAAGTAAAATACAAAAATATATTTTCACATCTTTATAGAATGAAAAGAAAACCACATTAATCTTTGAGATTCTTAAAGATTTTCTTTACTCTTCCCACAAATATAAAAACAGATGTACACTTACATTCTGAAGTCCCAAACTCCAGCAGCCAAGTCATTATACAGTTTATTTTGTATGTGCAAAGTAGACATTTCATACTTGTTGTAGAAAGCAGAGTACAGGCTCAAGGGAGAATCACCTCTAAATACCGATTGTTTTCAAAGTACGATGCTGTTGTAACAATGTACAATAATACATATACTTTTGGTCAATGTGTACTTCTCTTTTTAAAGTAAATACAGCTTTAGGCATAAACCTTTCAAAGGCTAGCTTTGAAAAACTGAGGTGACATGTTATTTCAGACACAATGAACAATAATCTGTCAGTAACCAAGCCAGGAGAGGGTAGGTTTTTTCCATTTCTTTTCTCCTTCTCCATCTAATAAGTTCTCGAGGGAGGGCCTGGTGCAGTCAGGGATGCAGCTCACCAACCTCGAGCCCGGGTGGTAAATGTCAACTGAAGACGCCACCTCTGATGTGGATGGTTTCATTCAATCCATGTTCCACCAGCTTTATATCTTCTAGATCATCTTTTATGATGCTAATCAGGTGGCTTAGACCTTCCTGCTGCTGTTTCAAATGCTAGAAGAGATTCAAGGAAAAAGATCATGGTGTGTGCAACTGGAAGCGACCCACAGGAAAAACTTTTTCCACTTATTTATTTTAGCAATACAGCATCTATCTAGTAATGCAGCTCCCTATAAAGATGTTTATACTGTCTTTTGCTAATAAAAGTTTAGATGACCCACAGTAAAAGACATGGTCTAAAGAGAGCAAATACATAGTGAGCAATATATTCACAAGTTTTCCAAAAGAGGCAGGTACCCCCCCGCCCCCAAGTGTTTTAGAACATCATTGCCTTCACCGATCCTAATAAGAGCTGAAAGAGGTAGAGAAATACAGATGGGAACTACAGTTTTAACAACAGTCTTAACGTGATGGAGCAGTTTCAGAAGCTTCACAGGTGTTAACTCATCAAGACCCTCGGAGCCCCCTCTGGGGTCTCACCTCAAATTTACAGATAAGGGAACCTGAGACATAAGTAACTACGCCAAGGTCACACACTAGTAGGTAGTGAGCTAAGATCCAATCTCAAAACCACATATGACTTGTCATTATTTTAAAAAGGTAGGTGTTCATATTACTTTCAAATTCATTGCAGCTTTCACACAAAAACACTTTTAGTATAGCTCTTATTTTAACAGCGCCCAACGTGGGGCTCAAACCCACAACCCTGAGATTAAGAGTCTCATGCTCTACCGACTGAGCTAATATAGCTCTTTATTGCCATTTGCTGATTTGGGGGGTACTATTACGGAAAACACTTAAAATGGAGTATTATGAGCATATGCATGCTTTCCAAGAACCTAGAGGCCAAATTTGTTTTATAATACATTAAGCAATAATATCCACTCGAAAGTGCATAGTAAGATAACATTTATAAACCCGAGTTTGGCAGTCTGAACCCACTGATCAACTTTTCTGGAGAAAGACCTGATTATATGGCCTAGAATACCTTGTGGGCAGTTATACTCTGCCATATGGGGCCACTAGGCTTCGAAAGTCAACTCTACGGCACCTTAACAAAATTCCCAGGGCAAGGCCAACAACCAGACCTAGTCCGTTCCACAGAATTTACTATCTTCACTTATTTCTTAAGACATCTCAGTGGTTGGGCTGCTTTCTCTTAAAGCAGTTACATAAACTCAAGGAGTGCTTCCTAACCCTGCTCATCCAAAGCAGCCTTAGAGATCAAGGTCGGCAACCCTGAGGACAGAGTGATGAGTGCCCCAGGCTGTTTGCACACAGAATGGGAAGGTGGGAGCTCTAACAATTGGTTCTCAAGATTCAATCTGCCTACAAACCCTAACAAAATGCAGTTGCCAGTCGGAGGTTGGACTGAGACTTGTGCATTTCCCGCTGTTGCTGCAGCAGCTCCAGGGCTACACTGCAAGAGTCCTGAGCACTTTGGTGACTTCACCTTTCACCACACATGCCCAGATCAACAGTTACCTGCTTGATTTCTCGTAGCAGATCTGCATCTATGTGATACCTTTCCTCTGATCTGACTTGTCCAAAGTGATTCTGCATACGGATTTGGGACATCAATTCATTTAGTCGCCCCTAGAAACAAGCCTGAGTTAGACTACAACAGCAATGCCCAACAGAGTTCTCCAACATCACGTTTTATGAAAAAGATAAGCTGAAATCATAAGTTTACGAAGAAAATTTTGATGAAAGAGAACACATAATAAAACCATTAGAAAAACGGATTTTTTGGTGTGAAGAAGCTACTTAATTTTTCTGCAAGTCCCTATAAAACAAAATCCGGTTTCATGGTCTTACTAAGTGCTTACCTTGAACTGTGTAGGGGCATTTAGTTCACACTGAATTGTATCTAGTTGAACTCTCAACTGCTCTTCATCTGCCTGGATGGCATAGCCACTCTTCCGCTGAATTTCCTGCTTAATTAGAACCTATGCAAAGAAAATCCAGCACTATCAATTATGCAAGATGGGTTTTTTTTTTTACTATCAGCCACTGAAAGAAATTAACTTTTACATTAACAAATATAGAAGGGCTTAACAGTTCAACATCTGAATTATGTTTTTCGATTTTAACTGGGCAAGTTATCTCACATGTTCACTGATTTATACTTAACCTTTTAAAAACTTATTTGCATAGCTTTAAAATCAAGTTCCAGAAATAGACAGCATAATACCAGTAATACCAGCTTTACACACTGACAGCTTTTCAAAATCAAGTGTTTTTTCTGTCTACACACAGGCTTTAGTTTTCGTTATTAAAGTTCTCGTCAACTTTTCCACATGAGAAAAGCAATGTGTGCTAGTTGAAAAACATTTCAATTTGACCACCTGTAGACACACAGATTCTCCCAGTGTTCACACACTGCTGTGCGCTCGTCTGTACTTTCCTCCCAAGGAAGGCTTGGTGATTTCAAACTGCCAACCTTTCTGATCACAGTCCATGTAACCACCATGCCTGCCACCAGGGCTCCAGACAGGTTTGAAACCTGTTTTTACCCTGGGTAGAAACCTAGTGTGAAGTCCCTCTCTACTTTTACTGATGGTCCTATCAGTTTTTCATAAATAGGAGGCTAAGTGAATAAGCACTAGAGAATCACTGAAACCTTTATTAAAATGGTAAAAATGGGAAGCTACTGATTCTCAGCATATCCTGATCAAAGTTTACCCTGCAGACTTCTAACCCTCCCTGAAAAAGTCTCCGTTCTTCAATTTACACCACGTCAAACTAGTCATACTGGCATCCTCGAGGGACTCAAATTAAGTCCTTTGAAATGTTCTTTCAGTTTGGGGAACAAAATGATGTTTGAAGGGGCAACATTGGGGCTATCGGGTGTATGAGGTAAGGTTTCCCAGTGAAGTTCTTGTAGTACATTTACTACCTTGAAGAACGAGTAGGTGACAGAAAACAATTCCTTGGTGTAAATTTCCTAGTCTTTTTGTCACCGATAGGTTTCAATTTTCTTAAAATATCTTCATGTACGCCTCCCCTTGCCCCCAAGATTGTCCTTGGATAAAAGATTCTATTGAGGTTATTCCTTTGGACGCCACAAAAAGGCTCCCACAACCTGAGCTACACTCTGTCTTGAACTGGCCCAGCAGAGACCCTTGGAAGCCACTTCTGTTATTGGACCATCCCTCCCCCCCCCCCAAAAAGAAAGTAATGATTCTACAACAAGTTTATACTGAGAGGACTTTTCTGCTGCCACCCACTGAATCAGAGATGTTTAAATGTGTGCCCTTTGAGGTAATTGTCTGCAGCACAAAAGAATCTTCGTAAAGCTTGCCCAAGCAGGGCAGAGCAGGGCAGAGGGCAGAATCCAATAGCTGATGAGTCCAGGCCCAGAATAAGGCCCTCCTGACAAGAAAAACTATCTTGAGTATTTCTGAACCTAAATTGTGAACTGTTAACTTCCTAGTAAACTGATAATCATGAGTATTGTCTGTGAGTCCAGTGAACATTGCAACGAATTAACAAACCCATCAGGGAAGTGAGTAACTGAGGAGGGACTGTTAGTGTTTAAGGTGGGTGATCAAGGAGAAAAGAAGGTGGAGGCTTATCTGACCTCAGCGTCATAAGACTCCGCCAAGGGCTAAGGGACTATTTATTCTCTTGCTTTCCCTTCATGAAGGGAAGAGAGATCAGAGGCTGCCCTCCAACATTTTCACAGAACCCAATAGTGGAAAATCCTAAAATTATGTGCCTATTGATATGACACAAGGTGAAATACATCACCACCTAGGAAGCCAGAACCATTATCATCTGAATCTATTGTACCTCTAATCCAAAAGGGGACATTGAAAACTGCCCCAGGCTCTTGAAAAGGCAAGTAACTAAAAAAAGAAAAAAAGTTAAGGGACTGGGCACTTGTAGATTTAAAAATAAGATACAAACATAAAACCAATATAAAAATAAAACCAGGGGACCTTGGTTAGAATATCAATTTTGAAAAAAAGACTTACAAAGGCAACAAGAAATAAGAAAATGAACTAGTTGCAGATATTACACAATCATGAAGTGTCACAATGTTTGCAATTTACTTTCATGGGATAGAAATGACCTCAAAACAAAACAAAAAGAGAAAATAGAAAGTCTCATGTGTGAAAATGTTAACCTTTCTATATTGAAAACTTTTCAAAATAAACCTTGAGAGGGAAACAAATCCAGAATGATTACCTGTAAAGTTCTATGGGAAAGATCCATGAGTTTCCTCTTGTACTGTGCAATTTTGGCCACAGTTGTAGTTTGATTTTTCTGTAACTCACTAATATCTTCCGATATAATCTGTTAAAAGCATCAGAAAGATTGTAACTATTTGTCAGGTATGCCTCTACACAAGCACAGCTTCTCTAATTCTGACGGTGGTCAGTGTTACTGAGTCAATTCTGATACATAGCAGCCCCACGTGATTTTCTTGACTCTGCTTTTCACCCCAGCAGTTTGCCAGGCCAAGGATGGGTCCAAACTGCCAGTCTTTCATTTTGCAGCTAAGGGATCACAGATCTCTATACCACCCAAACCCACTTTTGTATTCATAAGGCTCCATAAATAAGTGTTTAATAAAAAAATAGCTCATGCACTCTATTATTGAAACTAAGATAAAAGTCTAAGTACCATATATATTCGAGTATAAGCTGACCCAATTATCTGCAGAGGCACCGAATTTTACCACAAAAACTACATAAAAATGTGCTGGAAAACTCGGCTTATACACGAGTATTTACAGTAATTAGCAAAGTCAGTAATATTAATTCTAAATTCACTATTAGAATGAAGCAAATCTGACTTGTGATTTGAGGGGCTTTCCCAAAAGAAGGCCGCCGTTGAAGACTATAATTTCAGATTTGCAATGCACGCTATATTGTTTTCCCATAAGGCAAAAACCAGTAGTACACATACATGGCAAAGACAATCAAATGCCTATACCAAGGGCTCAAGCAGAAAACAAAGGTTTTGAGAATGATGATGACAACAAATGTACAAATGTTCTTGACACAATGGATGGATGGATGGATTGTGATAAGAGTTGTACGAGCCCCCAATACAATGATTAAAAAAAAAAAAGAATCAAACGCCTAAATATTTCTAACTCCTCCCAGGCCCCGAGGCTGGAAAGCTAAATAAAGGCTTACATCTAGTCTGGTCTGATGCTGCTTTGTCATCTGCTCCTGAACCTTCAGTCTTCTCAGCAGCTCTTTGAAACCCACCATTGGTACAGGGATTAATCTGAAGAAATGCAAATGGTTAATTTCAGATCCCAAGCCTATTAAAAAATGTGTGAAGATTTTTATAAATAGTAATATTGTACAAATTCACATTAAATTTCAAGGATCCTAAAGCACATGGATGACCTCGAAATCAGCAGTGTTATACTATGAGACTTTATTCAACTTTTCCTATTGTACAGATGAAGAAATACGCTCAGCAAGAAAAACTACGTTGTTACAAATGCAGTTACGGACTGTATCTCCAGCAATGTTTTCACCACAGTATGTGGCCTTACCACACTCAACATTTCTAAAAAGAATGAAATGAGTATCAACTAGCTTTATATATAAGACCTCATGAATCACGTTTGCTTGCTTTCCTAGTCTCAAACACATTGCTACGAGATCAAGATCTACTTACTTTTCTGAATCAGGGTTATCCACCTTGGCTTGTTCCCATATAATAGGGTCAACTCCTATCATAAAAAAGAAATATGTTAAAAACATTACTTTTCTTATTTATATTTGCATGGAAAAGGACTTCCTAAAGCAAGACAAAAACTCTCAGAAGCCGTAATAAAAGAGGACCACTGTCAGAGTTCCTCTGTCCTTCTAGTAAAGCTAGGTAGTGTACAGTTCCAACTATATGATATCCTAGAAAAGGTAGAAATAAACTTTGTTTTAGATTGAATAAAGCCAAACAAAGTACTGGTTGAAAGGACCTGTAGGCTAATAGAGGAACCTCCAGGTTGTAACAAGAGTTCCTATATACCAATTAAGAAAAGACAAACACTCGAACAGGAGAAAAATGGGCAAAGGGTACCAAAAAATACAAACAGGCTAACAAACATGAAAATAGGCTCCACACTTCACTAGTTATCAGGAAAATGCATAGTAAAATAAGTAATAATTTCTTGACCTAAGAATGGCATGACTTAAAAAGTCTAGTAGTAATCACCATTATTGATGAAAATGCAGTAAAACAAGTTCTCGCATACATGCTGGTATGAATATAAATTGGTAGCACTTTCTGTGGAGAGCAATTTGGCAATATTTAACAATAAAGTATTCATAGTCTGATAATTTCATTACCGCAGGGCTATTCTGAAGAGCAACATACCCATGTGTTCTAAGATAGAAGTCATAAAACGATGTTAACCGGATAGCATGTAATAGTAAAAAGCTAGAAACCTTGTCAATACCATGGACTTTTTTTTTTTATTATTACGCAAGGTTTTTATTTTTTATTACGCAAGGTTTACTTCCATCTAGTGACATGGAAGCACAAAGAAGTATAAGCAGGCTTCAAAAAAGCATTCTATAATCTCTGAACTCCGCTTTTTCATGAGCTTTGTGCAGTCCTTTGTACTGTTAGAGTGAAAAGGGACAATACATGTCAAACCTGCATGTATACACAAGGGGACATGGCAGTCCATGGGAGAACAGAGCAGAAAGATGACAAGGCTTTCCCCACACGCTTTTGAAGCCCCCATCTAAGGAATCTGGTGGTGCAATGGTTAGGAGATGGGCTGCGAACCAAACAGGAACTGACCAGCTGCTCCTAAGGGGGAAAAGCCCTGGCAATGTGCTCCTCTACAGAGAATGGACTAGGAAACCCTGTCTTTTCCGGCCCCTCTATGTTGGATTTACTCAATGGCACACAACATGAGCGTGCTGTTGTTGCTGTCTGATGCTGTCTCAGTTCCAACTCACAGTGTACAACAAAATGAAACACTGCCCAGTCCTACGACATCCTCAGAATTGCTATGTTGAAGCCCATGACTGCAGCCACTTTAGTTTGTTCTTAGTCCGGAAGCTGTGCTGAAGCCTGTTCACTCTGGGCGCCTGCTGATAGTTAACATGCCAGTGAAACGGCTTCCAGCATCACAGCAACACACAAGCCGCCTAAAATGACACTGACAGGCAAGCGGTGGAACACAAATGTACACACGTTTCTATCTTAGGTCTCAGATAAAGGATAAATAGAACACCACAAACTGTTCTTCTTGGACACACGAGGAGAGCTAGTGGAGGTCTACCACACAGTTGATCTGCTGCTGCCATCTCGAATCACGTATACAATGCGACGCGCATTCAAGTTTTATTTAAACACTCGATTAAAATGAGATAAACTAGAAAAATAGATTGAAAATCTAAGAATGCTTTCTCTTTTATCTTTTTCTAAAATTTCTACCAACCATATTCTATAGTAAAATTGAATGAATTTGTGAATACAATAAAAATAACCAAAGCTATGTTCCAAATAGGCTGACATTGGTTTTATTAACTGATAACCAACACTTCACCAAGTAGATGATTAGTAAATCTTTACATTTCTTAATGCGGTGACACTAGAACCGTACCAGCAGGGGGGTTCTGTAAGAGCTGTTTGAGCTGTGCAGGAGAGAGCTCTGTCCGAGGCACACACAGGATCACTCCAAGTTGCTGCAGCTGTGGTTTGATGTCAGCCTGTTCAAAACGGGCATAGAGAGGGGTCGCTGGAACCCTCCTGGAAGTACCATTCGGAGAACGTTCAACAACATATATGACAACTTCTGTCCTGGAAACATATCCAAGTTACAGGGAATTAAGCACATAACTCAAAGCCACAAACATCAACAAAAATGATTATTTTATAATGGTGCAGAGTTGATTTCAGAAATGACTATTTCAGGTGAAGAAAATTAAAATGTTTCTGCTAAAATCTTGGATAAAAAACACAATGTTTTCTTATAAATCAACTTAAATGATAGTTGAAATAGGCAAATAAATTATTTGTAAAAGTGCTTGCTTAACTACAAAGTTATACTCAAATGTTTTTCATTTTTTCCAGAATCAAAGATTACTTTGAGGATTCTGTTAAATAACCCAGTGGTTCTCAACCTTTCCAGTGCCATGACCCTTTCATACAGCTCCTCATGTGGTGGTGACCCCCAATCATAAAATTATTTTTGTTGCTACTTCATAACTGTAATTTTTCTGTTATGAATCGGGCAACCCCTGAGAAAGGGTCGTTCAAGGGGTCGTGACCCACAGATAGAGAACCGCAGTGTTAACCAAACCAAAAGCCAAGTCTGTTGCTTTCACACTGATTCCAACGCCTATCAACCATGTGGGTGAGATGAGAACCGCCTGGAGGGTTTCCAAGCCTGTAATCTTTAAAGGAGCAATTTGCCACGTCTTTCTTCCACTGAGCGACCTGATGGGCAACATTTTGGTTGGCAGTCAAGTACTTCACCACTGTGCCACCAGGACTCCAGAGACTGCTACAGCCCACATGCTGCTGGATCAAAGTGAAGACCAAGTAAAATCTGATTTCAATGACTATATCTCATTAATAATTCTTCTAATATAAGCACCCTCAAATACTAAGAAATTATACACAAGCAAGGGAAGTAGACCAATTCAATTTATCCATGAATGAAGTTGAATAGGAATTAATGATTTGACTCCTAAAACATTCCAATATCATCTTTGGGGCCCTTTATTTGTACACAGCCATGGTAAATGTTTGCTCCTGGTCTGAAGTTAAAAAGAAAATCCAAACAATTACTAGCATATAAGTTAAGAAACCTAAAATTAGGGGGGGGCGCTTTTAAATGAAGGTTTGTGTATATATAAATATAATAACCACTAGCTCAGTGAGAACATATTCAGCTGAGATTTTATTTTGCTTCAGCAACGAAAGCACTAATCATGGTTTCTCAATGGACTAAGGCACACAAAAAGCAGTAACATACTCCATCTTGACTTACTGATCATCAGGCAATGCTTTAATTCCCTCCACATTCACAGCCAGGGTCTGGTTTCCTCCTACAACTTTATGCAATGCTTCCACCAACTGCTGCTGCTGGCTTCGGATGTCTGCTTCTCTCTTGCTGAAAACTAAAACCACCAGGCCGTCTTCATCTTTGTTACTGGGCATACAACTGTAACCGACTGCCTGCGGAGGACATAACATACTGAAACACCAACAATACAGAGTGAATTTAATCAAGCACGTAATGTCTGGTAAAACCGCTTCCGAGACGGAATAACGATGCCCTAGGAGGTCACACAATCATAACCGACTTGACTTGGGGAGACCACAAACAGGGAAATCAGTATTTCCTCTCCTACAGGAACTAAAGTAACTGAAGTAATGTTCACCTATATTATTGTTGGGTGCTAACACTGTTGAGACAACTCTGTGTATCATTATAATAAGGACTGTAAACGTCATAGACTAGTGGGTTTCCAGTTAAAATGTAATTTCTTCCACCATATATCTGACTCAGGGAAATTTTAGATATATAAATAAGCCTTTATAAATATTCTTAAGGTACACTAATATCAGATCTTACAAATGCTATGAGAATGTATAATGACTTTATAATTTCATGTTATACAAAACTTGATGGAACTAGTTAGTTTTATATATATTTATCTTGAATATATAATAAATAAATTTATGTAATATTAAAAATGGCCAACTATATATATGAAAGAATAACTTCTGAAGCCTTTTATCCCTTATCACCAGTTATGTGCAACTTAAAATTTTTTAACTCATTATATTAGTGTACATTGTGCACGTTTATTGTTACACCTTAATTTTTTAAAAAGAACATTTAAGGTGTTATAGTCAGTTTATGACTTATTTTATAGTCACAAACAAAAAAATATTAACGTCAACTGTATGCACTCAAAAGATATACTGTGCATTGCCGTTAGACTGCTAAAGAGATGTTCTGTGCAGCTGGCCACGCTGTTAGTTAACCACGTTCACCAATCTGATCCTCAGCCTTTCAGCTTCACAGACAGGATCAGGTAGGTACATGTTGATTATGCTCCAGAGACTGACATAAACCAACACAACTCATAAGCAGCTGAAATTTTAAACTGGAATTCCAACTCATTAACTTGTTAAGGCCAAGCTGACACTAATGAGATTGACTAGGAAGTCAAATTTGTTTGGGAGGCAAGGAATCAGCAAAGAAAATAGGCTTACATTGTTTCAAGGGCTTTGTATGCAGTTCCCATATACTTATACCTGATCTCTGCAGAATAACCATTTGTTGATTAGAGTGCATTTCCTGGGCAATGCTAGTGGAATTTCATTAAACTCCAGCTTTGGGTCTCCCTTTAAAGGTCCCTGTTATCCTCTGTCATTATTTCTTTCTCAGTCATATTTAAGGTGTAGTTTACACACACCTTCCTGAGGTCACATGCTGGTCATCTTCAATATACAAACATTACAAACATACGAAACCATTTCAATGTTATAATTTCTTTTTCCCCCCTTTAAACCAAAGAATAACTACCACATTCAAGGGGTACTGAAGGGCCAGGCAGCCAACTCCCTGGTACTATTTTAATGCAACTATATTTTCTCTCACACATCATTCTTCAAAACAAGATTAAGAGCAGCACCATACCTTAAATCGGCAAAAGGGATTTTCTTGGGTGAATTCCACTGGTGCATTGTTATTGTTAAAATATCCTTTTCCTGTCCCCCAAAAGGCCTGCAGCTGATTCCATTTTGCCAAAATGGCATCTCTTTCATCTCCCAGTAGGGTTGGAGCAGAGAGAGCACTTGCTGTATGTATCAGATGGTTGGACTGGGCTGGAGCTTGTGCAGGCTGACTGAAGAGACCACCTAGTGCTAAAAAGTACCCAGAAAGTTAGTCTCTCAAAAGACAAACGTAATCAAGTCAGATCCTAGGTGTGACAGGCAGAATAATGGTCTGATTTTTGTGAACCTGTGAGTATGTTACCTTAGACAAGAGACTCTGCAGCTGTGGGCTGGCAGGAGAAAGGATGATGGATGATGAACTTTTCAGAGAGCTCTACCAAACCCTACTGCTCACTCCTGGCATCACCGCCATTCAACACGTGCACCACCCCCCACAAGACTCTTGCAAAAAATATCTGTAGCAATTTCCAATTTATCACAAACACACGGCCTAAAAGGTAAATGATACAAGAAAGAAGCAAACAGACAAATACAGAATGAAGGACTTTTCACAAGACAATTGACCCCATCTCTTCAACCATTCATGGGGGGTGGGGTGGGGGGGTGGTGAACAATGGGGAAAGTGTGGAATGCGCTACACCAAGAAGAAATTTAGGAGGTATAATGTGCAAAAGAATATAGACCTTTTAAAAATCATGATATGGACAAACCAATGGAAATCAACATTTCCTTCCCAAAATTAGATTGAAAGTATAATAGAAGCAACTCATTAATTATTCAGTGCAATAATGCCCACATTTTCTAAGGAAACATAAATAAAGTAAGGGTGAGATGACAACAACAACAATAAAAAACACGAAGGAAAAAGGAGGTAAAGTAGATGTAGCAAATCTCGCCTTTTGTTGAATCTAGTTGGTGGGCATAAATAGGGGTTCACTTTACAATTCTACTTTAATGTGTTACAATTTTCTATAATTGAAAAATAGTGCTTATCAGATGATTAATGATCCTAAACTATTTGATAAAACTGATGCCAAATTAGTAAGCGCTCGTTCCAATTCAGTTATACACAGGGTTCACAGTGAGCACCCAGAGGTAACAAGACCTCACTCTTTTATGAAGCAACAACTTCAAGCAGTTGAACTGTAGAAGAGGGAATAGTGCTTAGCGGAAATACGATGAGATTGAAGTATGTCTTTTTGTCACTGCTTTAGGTAAAAAAGAAAATTCCAGTTGTGAGAATATAGATGAGAAAGACCACTGGGAAGAGACGCTGAAGCTATTGGTGCCCAGAGGGAAGGCTGGAGAAACACCCTACAGCACCAAGGTCTTTAGGAAGCAAGAGGCCGGAGGCCCAGCACAGTTTGGAAGGTCTGAGAGCCTCCATCGGTAGAGGTGGCAGTAGATAAGAGATTTTGTCAGAAGAAACAAACAAAACCCAAATTCATGCCATCGATTCCAACTCATAATGGCCCTAATAAGGACTGGATAGACTGCCCCAGTGAGTTTCCGAGACTGTAACTTGTTATCAGAGTAGAATGTCTGGTCTCTCTCCCACGAGTAACTGGTGGGAGACTGTAACAGACCTTGTGGTTAGCAGCCCAACATGTAAACCCTCAGCCACCACTGCTCCTTTGGTCAGGGAAAGCTCAAGAAAATTGCAACTAAGGATTCTATTCTCTCTATGAAGTAGGGCTCAAAGCCATCAGCTGGAAGCGCAAGCAAAATAGTTTGATATCTGAAAAGAATAGGGCTTAAAATAATTGTTGTAGCAAATAAGCAAAGTAAGTTGAAAATAGAAACTCTGAAGGGTTACCAGGTGATACTACAGTTCCAACTGAGGTTGGCAATCAAGAATTTACAGATGTACCCCTCACTGTCTACTATGTGATCTTAGGCAGCTGGGTAGACAGCAGAGCTGTGTTGGGTCTGTCTCCCCACTCCCACACCCTACTGCCCACCTCCCACCTTCAGGCAGATGTGTCACATACAAGAGCAAGTTAATTTAGCAGACTGGCCAAAGTGCCCAAAATGAAAGGACATGAAGGCTAAGCTATTTAGTGAGAGCAGTGAGGATTGGAAGGAGCTGATGGAAGAGCATCAGCTAGTGGTCTAAAGAGCATCAGCTAGTGGTCAAATGCTAGTGGTCTAAAGATACTGATGCTTTTTAAGAAGAGTTATCATGGAAGTGGTGCCGTGTTTATATGATGGGCTGTGATCTGCTTGGTCTGCAGTTCAAAACCACCAGAAACTCCTTGGGAGAACTGGTGCTATTTCTGCAAGCAGTTACAATCTCAAAAACATACAGGTCACTATGAGTCAGCACTGACTCAATGGCGGTGAGTTTGGTTTTATAATGGATGTAGGGGAGCCCTGGTAGCTTAGTGGTTACTTGTTGGGCTATGATCTGCAAGATCTGAAGTTCAACACCACCAGCTGCTCCTCTGGAGAAACACAGGCCCTTTCTATTCCAGTAAAGTTACATTCTTGGAAACCCCCCGGGGGAGGGTTCTGCCCTGTCCTATAGGACTGCTCTGAGTAGGCATCAACTCAATGACAGTAAGAGATAACGGAAGCAGTTGAAAAGACAAGCTAAAAGGTTTAAGTAAGAGTATATTGTGGGATGTTTAAACTTGTGATTTTGGAATAAAAGGTGGCGGGAATGACTGCTTGGGTGCAGTCACGTGGGTGCTAAAATAACTCAGATTGACAGCAGGAGCTAGTGCTGGTGCCTGTTTCCAGTGACTGGTCCAGGTACTGTCTAGAAAATCAGCAGATCTGGGTAGCAAGAACATCAAGCAAGCCAGGGGTTAAAAATAAAGTAATTGCTTCGTGACCTGGCAGATTAAAGTCCTTACAATAACAAACGGGGTCCTTAGTGATTTGGCATTTGCCTGCATAGGTTACAGAGAAAGAATGATTGAGGAATGGTATAGGTTTCAGTTGAAGAAGAGGGAAGAAAGAGTATTCAAGAGCCTGAGAATAGAAGGGAGTTTGGTAATCATGGAGCAAGAATTTCTTCCATTTAAATGACAGGATTCTGTCATTTACATCATGGACCTGGAGCTTGTTTATCATGAGCACAATGGAAGAGCCCCATGGGGGGGGGGGAGTAAAATGAGTGGGAAGAGGCAGGTAGGACAAGAATGAGCCAGGGGAACTGAAGTCCAGAGTGCTAGAGGAACTGGATTACACAAGGAGGGTTCCCTTAGCAGTGTCGGGACTCTCAAGAGAAGAACAGTTGACTGACACTCAACAATCTTTTTGGTTTTGCTTAGAAAGACCTGGTAGTTGTATAGAAAGCCAAACGTGTTTTCCTCTTGATTCACAGGCATTGCAACTGAGATAGGTTTAGCACTAGCCAGTGGAGGGGAGCAAGTCAGTATGAGGTGTGCAAGTCCCTTTATGGATGCAGGTGTGTGTTAGGGGAAGACAGCGGTTCCAAAGATGGCACCTATTATTTTGCTGTCAATACCTTATTTGTCTGAGTGGGTAGAGCAACGTATCACAAGATGAGCTTCTCTTCCTGTGCCAACTTATTTTTAAATGTACATGCTTCTAAGAGTTCTGTTCTACTACTCTACCCTGAAATTGAGTCCCCCTGAAGGATGCCATCTCAATCTACTGTTTCAAATACTACCTACACTATGATGGCTTACATGTTTGTTTCTCCTGATCTCATAGTCACATATACATCTACCTATGGGGCACTGCAGACTCACCCCCTGTCTGCTCTTCCTTTGATATTCTCTTATCTTGGTGAGCAGCTAGGGACTCATTCTGTTATGCCATTCAGGAGACCATGATACCTGAATTCTTCCAGTCAACTAAGCTGTACTGATTCTACAATTTAAATCTCCACTTTATCTCGATTTCTCTTCACTCCTGACTGCCATTACCTGAATTCAGGTCTACACCATTTCTTGCTTAGATGAACTTCAATACCAGTCTCTTTGGCCTCACGTGCAGCCCACTTATAATCTACCACCCAACCTTTTACTTTTATTGCCCTCAGAGACCCTTCTAAAAATCATATCACTTCCCTGTCTGGCCTAAATCCTACAATGGCAGAACTCCTTAAAGGGCAACATTTAAATTCTCTAGTAAAACACAGTATGGCCTCTTACGATCCAGTCTGCATCTTGCTCTCTAAACTTGACTTTCACCACTCACCCCAAGCTTACGTATACTTTAAAGCTGTGCTGATCCAGTCACGGGTCCCAAAGTCCCAAAGTCACGATTACCAGCCATGCATCCATGCCTCTGTCAACGCTGCTCCTCTGCCTGGAATTCCCTTTTCTGACTTCAACCACCTGCCAATCCCAAGTCATCCTTTAGGCTCTGGTCTTCCTCGACAATCCATAATAACTTTAATGTGTTTCTATTTCAGTGTTTTCATTTTAAAAAATATATACAATCGGATGCTTAGCATCCTATCCCCTCTTAGTGCCTGACATATAGTAGACATTCAATAAATGGCTGTTACCTAACTGAATGAACCCCTTTCATTTTGAAAATGAAATAGCACCACACAAATTCCTTTTTCCTAAGAAAAGTGCAATTATAATTAAAAATAGCTGAAGACTTTACAAGGTAATCTCAGAACAACCTGCAATACCAGCTAATTAAGAAGCTATTAAAGACTAATTCTAGGCTGTGTCAAAGAACTAAAGAGGCTCACTCACACTGGCCAATGATGGGACAATTTAAACAGGGAGATGAATTGTAATGGATTAAAAATACCAGTTTGAATAGTTGAGTTCAAAATGACATTTTGAGGCAAAAAAAAGTAACTAGTTGACCACCTTTATGCTGGGGAACTCACCCTGTATATTGAAAACTAGTAACAAAGGGAAAGATTTATCCAGATAGATGAAATGGAGTTTCTCTCTGCAGAAGTATTCTAACCAAGAAATGGAAGGGCACCATTTGCAAACCTTAATAAAGTAACAGATTTGGGAAATGACCACCAATGGCTGCTGAAGTCACAAAGAGACATAGCCAGATAAAAGGACCTCTTCAAGAAACACCACCCCCTACCGCCTGCCAGCTTGTTGTACTGTGCTGTCTTGCATGTTGCTATGATGCTGGATTCCACGCAAGTATTTCAAATACCAGCATGTTTTCCTATAGTGGACAGGCTTCATGGAGCTTCCAGACTAAGACAAAATAAGAAAGTAATGAGAATATACTTTAGAAAACCAGCCAATGAAAACCTTACGGATCACAACAGAACACTGTACGATGTGCTGGATGATGTTGGAAGGCACTCTACAATGCCAGCAGGGTCTCAAACATACCAGTCAATGGTCAAGAAGATGGTACAGGACAAGGCAGCTTTCAGTGTAGTACACATGAGGTTGCCCAGAGTCCAAGCAAACTCACCAGTACCTAACAATGAAACCAACCAACACTAACTCTAAAGCAGGCTTGCGCGTGTGTGTGTGTGTGTGTGTGTGTGTGTGTGTGGTGCGTGCGTGACAGGACACAAGTTTTTCCTAAAGGAAATACACAAGACAAAAGAATAGGTTATAATGTAATCAGCCAACTCCTGACCGAACAACTCTACAGGACAAAAGATGCAATTTGGTTTTCATTTAGAGAAGCTGAAGGACATGAAAGAGAAAGCTACAAGGAACACACAGAAGAGGAGTTAAGAGGGCAAAACTATAGTCCTACTGAGCGATGCATACTTGTGTGATAAAACTGTAAGTAAAATTTTTTTAAAGAGCTAGGGTGACCATGAAAGACAGAGCAACAAGACAGAATAGGGGTTGCTCTGAGGGGAGGAGAGGACTGTGAATGGGAGGAGATGCTGCTGAGGCAGCTGCATGGAGCCAGCTCCTGATATGAGCAGTGGGAACAAAGGTGTTCACTGTCCACGTGATCCATTGAGCTGCATTTTGTGCAGTTTCTCCTCCCCCAAATAGATACTAGAATGATACTAAACACAAGTGCCTTAGAAGCCTAATCATGGCAATCTGGAATTCTTTGGAATATCGTTTTTATAATACTTTAGAAAAAGAGAAAATCTAATTCATCAATGTATTTCAAATAGTGCTTTATACACAGAAAGGAACAACACAAGCGCCTCAACAACAAAAGAACATCACATACTTACTTGTCTGCTGCTGCTGCTGGGTATTAAATCCTCCAAATCCCAGTCCAGTTCCCAGTCCAGTCCCCAAACCAGTACTAGTTCCTGTTGTTGTGCCAAAACCAGTACCAAATCCGAAACCTTTGTTCTGAGTACCACCGAAGAGCCCTTTCAATGGAAAATGTGAATTGAAAAATTTAAAAAGATACTCAGCCTCTCCCTCATTTACTTCTGCAATGACTTAGGGGGGGCTTCTTACCAGTAGTGCCTGTGTTAGTTGGAGCAGAAAAGCTGAATGCAGAACCTGCTGTGGTGGTTGTGGTCCCAAATCCTCCAAACCCACCTAACAAGAAAAGGATATATAAAATAGGAAGAATCTTTTGTATACACAAGAAGTCATTCCTTCTTCAAATATTTTATAATCACTACATATAAAGCCAAAGAATATAGACTTAATATTTCCTTTCTCTTTCAACATCAATTTAAAAACAAAACTCTACTATTTAGCAAGAAGTCACTATGCTGGGAGGAAAAAAGAAACTAAGTATTTTGAGTAGAAATATCACATGCATATACCTTTCAACTAAAGAGATGGTTAACAGTAGCTGGGAAAAATTAGCCCAATGTCACAATCGTTAATAAACTCTAAAATGACTACATAGGGCTTTTCAAATGCCAGCAAGAACCAGGCTGGTAACATTACTGGGTAAAAGAGATTGGGTGTTTCCTGAATAGGGGTGCGATTCAAAAGAACAGCCTAAGCCTTGTTTTTGAAAATGGCAGTTCTTGAATCCCAGCAGATTACTGTTGCAGGGGAATGCTACTTTAGGAATGTCATACATTCTCATCTGTCCCCTAAGAGAGATGTCATTTTGACTTTCTATATGAAATCTCTTTTTACTTCTTAGCAACTAATTCAATGGTTGAAAAATAGTGTGCTAACAAATCAAAATTGATATTGGTCTATTGCATTGGAGCTTGGGTGAATTATACCAATTCTGGTTCACATTTTTAGTATACATTAAAACGCAGCATTTTTCCCCCCAAAGAAAATCTATCAAGGTACTGACTCCAATACAAGACCACATTTCTTGAAGAGAGAGAAGGAAAAATAACAGATGGAAAAGTGCTGGCAGGGATGGGAAAAGAGCTGCAGGAGGCCACTGAACCAGTTTGGCAACTAGTACAGACAGCAATGGAGACAAAATAAACGTTTTCCTATCTAACTGACAGATACATAAGGATGAAACCCTAGCCAATCTAGAGTGCTCTGGTGTTTTTTTCTGTCCTCCGGTCAGTTTTAAATCCATTAATGAGGTCCCTAGAACACTTTCAAGGTAAATGTTGAACCATTAGTGGTCTCGAGTTATCAAAAAGGTTTTCTGATATTCCTACTTGAATCTCATATTCTGGTATGCAAAACAATGAGGCAGCAATACAGTAAAAATAAAGAAAGGAAAACCTGACAGTAAGCCATGAAATTCTGATTTGAAAATTAGCCAAGAGTAAATTTCAGACTGTGCTGTTATTGTTGGCTGCCTCTGAGTCCAGAGTGTGTGTGTGTGTGTGTGTGTAAAATGTATGATCTTTTGGAAGCAGAATGCCAGGTCTTATTTCTGAGGTACCTCTAGGTGGGTTTGAACTGCCAACCTTCCTGCTAATTGCCCATTGTGCCACTCAGGATGAGTTAGTATATTGTGCCAACCTGGTTGATAAACACATGTGGGGTTAATTGAAGGGAGGAGAGATAAATGGCTCGGTCAGCCTCGCCTTTCTAGTTCTCAGGTCTCTTGCTTTGTGATGGTCAGACCAGGGTGCAGCTGCTTTCACCAGTTCCCTGCTTTAGCTGGCAAGGCTCACTTCCTGCAAGACATCCCTGAGGAGAAGCCGCATGGACCTACCCCAATGCAGCCCTGCGTGCTGGAGCACCCCTGTGGCTGAGATGTTTAACACATTCACTGACTCGGGTTTCCTCCTGCAGTCAGCATCATTGCATCTGTTTTGTGAGATGGAGGAGGACTTTGTGGATTGGTGTTGGACATATGGGTTAATGTTGGACCTGTGGGCTTGGGCAGCACTGGGTTGGGATGTTTTCTTGATGCACACTTACCCTTTATATAAAACTCTCTCTTATACATGAGTTTCTGTGGATTTGTTTCTCTAAAGTACCCCCAGACTAACACATAGGAGCACCTACATTGTATGCAGGTCCAAGAAAACACTCTTTTTACTTGTAGGTTCCATTGCAGTGCTGCCAGCCATACATTCTTTGAGAAAAATCAGCTACAGTACTGAGCAATATTCTTAATTTCCTTCACTACCCCTCATGTCCACTGAATAAGATATATTCTGATTTGGCTCCATATAAAAATAATAGTATCTTATCATGCTGTTCAACACCAAGAATATTTATTAGTCATAGTGGCTCTACAAGGGTACAAAATAAAAAATAAACTCATGAGAATTTATATCAGCCCTTTGTGAAGGCTAAGCTCATTAACATATACAAAAGATGCAGTTAAAACAATTACATTATCCCCACTCAAAATGCAACAGTGATGATACCAAATGAAAATGAAATCAAGCAAAGACCAACAGGTTTGTTTATTATTGTTGAATTAACAGCTGGGTGGCTTTATTCAGAAACCAAATCATGTGTTGCCCAGTGCCAATTTTAAGCAAAGTCAACACACTGAGATATGTGATCACCCCAAATATATTTCAATGATAACAGATTATTTTATCTTTGGAATTCTCAAATGCTCTTGAAACGGATTTCAATTCAGATGCTAAGGTGGTATTCCTAGGGCAGTAATACATGAATGTCTAACATGCCAGCGTTCCCAAATGTGTTTTAGAGAATAAGTAATATTTACCAAATGCTTATAATTGGCATGGGCCTAAGTGACATAATGTGAGAGTATAGACAATAAATTCATATACGAGCAGCTGAAAAATAAGATTTTTTTCTATGTAGTCATTACGGGTAAAGGAAACACAAGCCTATTTGAAATTTACATATACCCATTATAGTCTGTATTTTCCAAAATTTTTAAGCAATGCAGTTACCAAACATTTTCATCACTTATCTATTAGAATGCAAAGATGACTATCTAAACTTCTAGAATTCGGTGTTATCTCACTATAAATTTGCTCTCAGGTCATTTCTCTCCCCCAAATTCAGTAAAGAATTGGGGACTCTCTTGATAATCACGTGCTTTCTAGAAATTATGTACCCTAATCTGCTGGGCTGACCAAAGAAATCCATTCTTTTCCACCTAAAAAGAAGGCAACCACTGCTGTTCGTATAAGACTTGTTTCTCTTTAGAAACACAAGGACAATCGCATGAGATTTCAATGGAAGATGGGGGAAATGAAAAATGACTGCAGGAGTCCAAGAACCCCACGAACATGGGTCTGACAGGTGAGCTTATATTTTGGAAGATGTAGCCAAGAATTTGGAAGATATATTCTTTTCCAAAGAATATTCTATTCCAAGTACTTATCATTGGGAAGTCATATTTTGTTAAATGAGAATTTTGGAAGAGAACATTCTAATTTGAAAGACTTCTGGGAACCACACCTTTAACAACAGTCAAAACCTGATACAAACGTTTTTGTCAAAATTTAGTGTTAAGGAATACATTTCCTTTCCTCGTTGGACATCTTACTAAAACGCTAGGAACCATGAAATATTATTCTTGGACTCCGGCTTCCAACACTCATTACACATACCAGCCCACAGTATCTACCTGCACTTGCCAGACTGTTACCAAAATTGAACGGAGTTGCCGAAGTGGTAGACACACCGAAATTCCCAATATTAAAGTTCACTGCAGGATTAGCAGTTAATCCGAAACCCCCAAAATTAAACCCACTGGCGGTGGAGTTGGCAGTCTCAAGCCCACCAAATCCTGATAGGCGTGTAGGCGAAGAAACAAACAAGAAATTAAAAGGAAAAAAAAAAAAGGGAGAGAGAGAAAGAAAGCAAGACACGGATTAGATGAATCGGCAGGAGGTTTCACAGACAAATCTCCAAATAGTTTAAGGAAGTCGAGGGGGCAGGAGCTGGCGAGGAGGAGCGCAGTGAAGACCAGCAGCGAGGGCCCAAAGGGCTCGGAAGCCGGGCTCCGCCCCGCGAGACGCGGGGTGCAGGCAGCCGCGGGGTAGCGCCCCGTCTTCCCGGCCCCACTCTCGCCGAGTCCGGCTGCGGGCGCCCCAGGCGCCGGCGGGGAGGGCGGGTCTCCGGCCGGGGCGCGAGGAGCCGTCTCCGGAGTCCCC